CGTTTTTTTCTGCCTTTTGGAGGAAGGGCATAATGGGATGCACCCAGCTGAGTTCAGCACGCTCAAAATTCAAATACAGTAGCCTACTCTAGTTCTTTTAATTTGAAATGTTATATTCGGCAAGACTTTTAATTATGTGGTTGGTTGGTGAAAAACTAATTTTTCAAATTGCTTCTTCACATACTGGCACTCTGAGTTTAAAGATGGTTTAAAGGTACTTACTGTAAATTCATGTGTTTAAATTTTTTGTAAATTAATTGATCAATGCTCAGATACAAAAATACTGCAGTCTTTATTGTTTTGAAGAAGTACCAACAGAAGTTGAACTACTGTAGGCCTGGGCTGCAGTTACATGTAACACCAGTTACTACCAAATTCTTCTTTTAGCTTTATCCCCATTCCCTCAAGAAGCTTAGCCTTTTCCCAGGTAAATGCTGTCAAAATATAACTGTTAATTTTCCTTGATAAATAAAGGTTAGAATGACTCAGTACACCATCTAGTGGTCTATACTACTATTGTGAGAAAGTACAGCCAGGCTCTAGGTCAACTTCAGTTGGTGTCTCTTAACCACGACACACAGATATTTTTGAAATAAAGTCAAAACATTCTTCTATTTACTTTCTGCTATTGGTGTTTAGTTTTTAAAGAATTTTAAAACATGAATTTACAATAAGTATCATTAAAGGAAACTGGTTCACTTGAGTCCTGTTTGTCTGCAGATTTGCTTATGCTTTCTGTCAGTTATTACGCTCAGATTCAGTGCAGAGATCTTGGAAGATTGTGAAGTTTTCTCCATGCTATGAGTCAAATGAGGGAAACCTGGTGCATATAACTGAAAATGTCACTACTTTACCAAAGCTCAGCGATGAACCCAGTGAAGCAGAGTGTGTGATATGAGAAGCGTGGTTAGAAAGGCCAGTTCATGCTGTGGGCTGCAGACCGGCACATGGTCACTGGACTTGCTCTTATACCACAATAGGAGGTGTGTGTGTGTGTGTTCATGTGCCACATGTGCATGCTAGAAAGCATGATACCCAATAGCCAGTTTTTTGCTGAACTACATTAAAGAAATGTAAGAAGCTGCAAGTGAAAGAAATATGTTGGTCTGTGAATACAAACACTGCTGGGTAGTTGTCTACAATCCAAATAACGAGTTTGCAAGAAATAATGCACAATACACTGACCGGCATGAGATGGCAAACAAAAAGGGATCAAAAGTGAATTTTCCAAACGCCACAGATAGATGTGTCGAGGTCGTAGCACTTTGATACACCTTTGACACGCCAACGCCAAAGAAGCACGGGTGTTTTAATGATCACAGTGGGATGCTGTACTATTGTGCTTGCTGATTCAGTCTCCACCCAGATCCTGGAGTGCTGGGACTTCACTAAACCGAGCCTTCATCTGTGTGATTAATTAGATTTGCACTTTTCCTGCTATGTCCAATCGCACAGTCTAATCACCGCACATCCACTGCAGTCTGACATGACTCAGAATTACATAACATAGTCTAACTGAAATTGAGATCACGCCTATCTGGCACACTGGGCACAAGTGGAGTACAGCACATACACCAGTTTATTTTTCTCAGCATATGCACTGTTGCTGTGTTTTCTACACTGACAGCCTGTCAGGTCATGCTGGGTTGGACACAAGAGGCTCGACACAATTCCTAACAACATGTAATGCTAGTTGGGGTGGATGTACGAGGCATTTTCAGGATTTCTTGGAGTGGTGCAGACCAAAATAAAAGCAGAGGGACATCAAGAAAATCAGAATATTTGATTACAAGTAAGTATATTGGAAAAGCAGGGTATACGATCGATTTAGTCTTCTGAAAGTGGTGACACTGCCGCAAGAGGTAAACACAATTCTGGGCTTTTTTGACCTTGTACAAAACACTTGTGGGGTTGTTTTCTGGGGTTGGATTTAAACATTTTTAGCTTAGTTTTAACTGACAATACAACATGCATTTTATTCACTCGTGCAGCCAGTCAGACTGGAGCCACCCATCTTTTCCATTTGACTTGAAGTATCTACAAACTGTCACAAGGATGGGGAGGGCCATTTAGGAGTCACTCACTGATTTAAACCAATCAGGATTGATGAATG